GTCATTGTTGTTTGGCGGGCCCAGGCTGGGGATTCGAACCCACCACCTTAGGTGTATGTGGCTGGCGCCTTAGCCGGTTGAGCTATAGGCGCCGAGCCAATTTACTATACTTTCATTATTTTCACTTAACACCTTCTAAAGAGCATTCTATGTTAGCACCCATGTCCTTCTATTTCACAATTGTGTAGAATTACCCATAGTTTTTGTAACTCAGTTGATTCTTAGTTATTTAGAGACAGACTGTGACTTTGTCACCCTGGGTAGAGTGCTATGGCATCATAATTGCTCACAGCAACCTCCAACTCTTGGGCTCAAGTGATCCTTTTACCTCAGTTTTTCTATTTTTAGTGGAGATTGGGTCTCATTCTTGCTCAAGCTGGTCTCAAACTCCTGAGCTCAAGCAATCCACTCTCCTCAGCCTCCCAGAATGCTAGGATTATAGGTGTGAGCCAATGCACCACTCAATTGGTTCTTCAAAGATGAATTAACAGTCCAGGAGAGGGGGCTCAAACCTGCAATCCTAGTACACTGGGAGGACCAGGCAGGTGGATTGCCTGAGCTCACTGGTTCGAGATCATCCAAAGCAAGAGTAAAACCTTGTCTCTAAAAATAGCTGGGTGTTGTGGCTGGTGCCTGTAGTCCCAGCTACTTGGGAGGCTGAGGCAAGAGAATCTCTTAAGCCCAAGAGTTTGAGGTTGCTGTGAGCTATGATGCCATAATACTCTACCAAGGGCAACAAAATGAGACTCTGTCTCAAAAAAAAAAAAAAAATGAACATAATGGAGTGTTACAAGTTTGAAATGGTAGACCTGGCAGAAGAGACAGCATGAAAAGTCCCAAGGCTCAGTGTGCACAGGCTGAGATATCTTAAACATGAAGTGTAAGGCAGGAAGTGCAAACAAATGAGGTATAAGCTGGCAGTGACTGGCTCATAAGGCTCCTAAACCAATGGTTCTCAAACTTCACTGTGATCAGAATTCTTTGAAGGACTTACTGAAACATTGCTGGGTCACAGATTCAGCAGGTCTAGGGTAGGGTACAAGAATTTGCATTTCTAACAATTTATGGAGTTTTGGTGCTGCTGGTCTGGAATAACACTTTAAGACCACTGATGTTAGTTAGCACTGTTTAGGACCCTGGACTATATTTTACCCAGTGGTTCACAAACACTGATGTACATCCAAATCAACTGAGGCTATTTAAAAAATTCAACTTCCTATGGGTGGTGCCTGTGGCTCAAAAGGGTAGGGCACAGGGCCCCATATGCTGGAGGTGGGGAGTTCATACCCTACCCTGGCCAAAAAAAAAAAAAATACAACTTCCTAGACATCCACAAGAATCGACAGCCACTTGACAACCTTAGGAAAAACTAGCTAAAAAATTTGTTTTGTTTTTTTGAGACAGTCTTGCTCTGTTTCCCAGGCTAGGCACTCATGGCCACAGCCTAGCTCACAGCAACCTTAAACTCCTGGGCTAAAGCAATCCTCCTGCTCCAGCCTTTAGGTAACTTGGACTACAGGTGCACACCATCATGCCCAGCTAAGTTTTTCTTTTTCTTTTTTTTAGAGACAGAGTCTCACTTTATGGCCCTTGGTAAAGTACCGTGGCATCACAGCTTACAGCAACCTCCAATTCCTGGGCTTAGGCAATTCTCTTGCCTCAGCCTCCCAAGTAGCTGGGGCTACAGGCACCTGCCACAACACCCGGCTATTTTTTGTTGCAGTTTAGCCAGGGCAGGGTTCAAACCTGCCACCCTCAGTACATGGGGCCAGTGCCCAACCCACTGAGCCACAGGTGCTGCTCCAGCTAATGTTTTCTATTTTTAGTAGACAGCAGTCTTGCTCTTGCTGGTGGGGAATTCCTGGGCTCAAAAGAGCCTCCTGCCTTCGCCTCCCAAAGTGCTAGGATTACAGGCATGAGCCACCATCCCGCCCCCAACTGAAGTTTTAAGCAAGGAAATATAATGCTCAGATCTGAACCTATGAAAGATATCCTTGGCCTTAGAAAAACTGGCATAGAAACTCCAGCCCAGAGTTCTATCTGCCCCTGTGGGTGAATCTGGAGCCTTTATACCTGAATGGTGTTAACCACAACTTTGCTTGATCCTGAGGAAAGTGCAGTATGTCCTTTACTGATTAGGATCATCCTACTATAAGAGCAGAAAGAGAACCGTGCATTCCAGGTTCCCCACAAGCTCTCTTCAACCAAAATCCAGAAAACTCCGAGAAATTTAGGGTTTCTCTCAGGATCCCTATGATGGATTAGAGACTGGGAAGGAAGCAGGAAGGTAGCTCCTTTTGAAAGCAAAATGATCCTTTTGGATCGGGAAGTGCAGGTAGTTAGCTTGCAAACTGACGTGGGAATCCTTGTAGGGTGGACGGCCCCACACCACCGGAGCCAAGAACCTGCGGTTGTGAAAATACAAGCAGAAAATGTAGCACCACAGCATGGGTCAAAACTCTGCGCTGAGTCATTAGAGGCTACAACGTAGCGGAGGGCTGCAGCCTCTCCACGGTTATTTTTCACTCACTTCTCTGGACCGTTACCCCTCTTCCGTTCTCCTGCGGGTCTAGGGCAGCTGGTTCCCAATCATCGGTATTTCGTTCCAACCAGGAGATGAGGGCTGGTTTGGGACCTGCGCACCCTGGGGAAGAAGAACAAGTCAGAGGGCCAGGTCCTAAGATGTCCTGACTGGGTAGACACCTACACGATGGCATCCTCTCCCCTGACACTACCTGGTTGCATGCCAGGACTTTGGACTCCTTGACCTCCCTCGGCGCCCAAGCTCCTCCAGCCCCCCGGGGCCCGCGTAAGCGGATTGGGCCGGGCCTCACCGAGCGCGCCCAGGTGGCCGTAGGTCTCACGCATCACGTCCCGGTACAGGGCCCTCTGCCCGGGCCGCAGATACCCCCACTCCTCCGGGGAGAAGTACACGGCCACGTCCACGAACTTCACAGCCCTCGGCCTCCTTCCCCTTCTCCGACTGGATCTATCCTGTCCTGCTCCCCCCGCAGCTAGGGGAGCCGAAGGCGGCGCCATTGGACCCGAGAAGCCGGCGCCCTACGGCCTTCCCGGTCCTGGCTGCAGCCCTTGGGCGCTGGCAGGCCCTGGGATTTAGGAGCCCCCACCGAACCAGTGCTGAACGTGGCCGGCGAGGCTCGGAGGGAATCTGAATCAGACGCCCGCAGGGCTAACGGAAACCTTTCGCTGTTATTCAGGAAACTCCTGCCCGAACTTGGGTGAAAGGCACCGGAAGATGCCTTCGGGGAAAATGGCGGCGCTGCGACTGCACCGCCTTTGCCTGGAACACAGGCAGCTTCCAGCTATCGATTTTATTGACCGGATCGCCATGCCGGCTTCCTAACCTCTCTGCCCTCAAGTGCAATGGCGCTGCGATTGGGCTTCACGCCCTCTTCTTTCTCCCTACCCATTACAGGCGTTCATTGGGTGTTCGCCAAAGATCGAATGTTCTGATTGGGTGCTGGCAAAGGCGCCTGTTTGAACGAAGCCAACGGATGCATAAGGGCAGGAAGCTGGTTCTTTAGTGTCGGGTAACCGTACTGAGTGGTAAAGCAGTTTGCGGCCACCTGTGATCAGTAGAAAACCCTCAGGCAAATTTCCACTGTTTCTCTGGCTGACTCAGCCTATCTCTGAAGGAGAGAAAAATTTCAGCGACGGTGCCATTCTGGCCTAGCCGGAGCTGAGATTACCCTCACTGCCATTCCTGGCTTTATCAAGGGATCCTTCACTTTGGGTGATGGTTAACTTCATTGTCACCCTTCAAAGAAGGGAAATTAACGTTAGTGTTTCCTGGGGGCAGGTGCCATACGCAATATATTACACATTTCCTCCTATTTATTCTTTGATACCATTTTGTGAGCTGGTGGCTATCATCCTGGTTTTACTGTTGAAATTGTCTTAGAGGGATTCCAAGAGTTTCCAGGGTCATACTCCTAGCAAGGAAGAAGGACAAAGATGTAAATCCAAGGTTGACGAGGCCTTTATTCACACCACTCAACTAGGCATTCTTCCTTTACACTACTATTAATTTGCTTGCCAACCTAGGAATTCATCTGAGCTTTTGGTCTCTTCTCAGATTCAATCATATGCATAATCCTCATACATTATTTTTACATAATTTGTTCAGTGCACAAAACATACTGCTAAGCAATTAGGACAAGCAGGGTTAAAGAAGTCATGGATCATTCTTTGAATGGAGTTTACAGTCTGTTGAGGCATATAAATTCACAACTACTGAGCAAGAGAATGATACAAGCATGTATGTGAAGGGCACAGAAAATTGCTGATGGAACCATCCAGCACCCAACCCATAAGCCCCCAGTTCTATGTAAGTATTATAGTGCAAAGTTTCACCAGCTCAATGCCATCTCCCAAGGGTACTGGGAGCAGGAGAATGTGCCATTTGCACATCTCTCACCTCAGCTGGTGACATACACATCCGTCTCTAACCTATTCATCTGTATTTTAAAGCACCTACTATGGGCAAAACACTAACCTTGAAGCCCTCAAGGAATAAAGATAATGTGATAGAAAAAGTAAAAAAATAAGGCAGGCAGTGAGATATTCTGAGAAAGATGCTTGAACAGAGGTGGTAGAAAAAACTACAATTAACATTACTTGACAGCCAAGATGAGAAGCTAATTAAGGACAAAACTCCCTTCACCATAGTTTCAAAGAAAATGAAATACCTGGCTCAGCGCCTGTGGCTCAAGCGGCTAAGGC